GAGTTTAAAACACAGTGGAGCGCTTCCTCTTTTACCTATGACAAGTGTTTTCTGTTTGAGAGTAAAAACCAGCCTAGTTGCATGGTTCATGTGTTAAACATGTGTGAATGAAACAAAACACGTCACCAGAAAACAGTGTAATATGGGCCCTTTAACAGCTTCAAAACCATGTCACAAATTGTAGTTTCTACGAGAGTTATCATGATACCATTGACCTATATATGCCCAGTGTGCTTTCTAAATACACAAACAGCCACACTCACACGCCTTCTTTTGAACCTGTCCTTTCAATTATAGCAGTAAGGTGAGACTTACTGGGCCAGCCAAACATGTTACAGAGAAATTCTCGAGGAAAAGGGAAGTTACAGCCTACAAAAGGCGTGTCCATGAACAACCTATGAATGACTACTATAGGTTAAATCTGATACTACACAGTGATTGCATTGTCAGTGAAAGAGGCTAATAGTTAAATGAAACTGTGCTAAAGTACATTGGGAGTTGATGGTATAGTGTGGCTTATCATTGAAGAGGCCTATCGCTAAAGGGATTATTTATATAGAAAGTTGATAAAGTTATCTTACTTCTTTAAACACCATTAGGCACACCTTAAAAGTAAAGATAAAGGGTCACAAAGGAAAATATGACAGATATGTTCCACTACAATAGGTTGAGAAAAAAACACTAGTATTACTAGTATTGGTGGTTTCTTCTAAGAGCTTTGTGGATGAATGGATAAAACTTTAAGTGTTTGCTGGTTTGAGTGGCCTTTATCAGAACTAGGAATCACATGATACTGAGAGCATATGGCAAGTTAGACTAGTTAAATAAATGTTAAATTTGACTAAAAAGCTTTCCTACTTTTCTCTAGTTCAAGCATGTTTGTTAAAGGTTCTATATTAAGCAAAATTGGCTCTTGTGAGCTTTAAGACATGTTAAAACATGGTTAGAGCACCAAAAAAATCACCTGGAGTTGTGGTTTATTTATTCACACCTTTGAGTAACCCTGCTTTATTAGTCTGTCTACATCTTCAAAGACGAAAATGCTCTGTTTCACTTCGTAATGTCTTGAAGTGGTAGTTTTCAAGTAAGAAACAAAACAGCTATCTTTTGCTTAGTAGTGATTGGAATTTCTACGGCTGAAATTACTCAAATGATTCTAGTGAAGGTGTATGAAGTTCAAAAACACAGTTGAGGAACAGGTGGAACAGTTTTCTGATTGAGAGCCTGTTTACACCACAACGCTTGCGGGTAAAACGACAATATATTCTACTGGAAGTGCCTTTCGTTTAGACAATGGCAGCGTTTTTGGCGCTTATAAACGCAAAAATTTGAAAACACCCTCCTGAGTGAAAAAGTTGAATACGCTCCGCCATACGGTTTCCATCTACACTGGCCAAGACGCAAAACTCTGGTGAGATCTGCTCACATCGCGTACAGGTTTATGTCACATACATACAGTACATAGAAACAAACGTGTCGGATGGCATGCATACCCAATTGAATTCCACACACTTTTGCGTATGCATGCAGATTTCCTCCTGAAAACGCTTCATCTAAATGCGAAGTGAAGACGCGACGACCACTTTTGCGTCTTCTGTTCAGACCGTCATCATATAAACGTAGCCTGTGAGAGTTTGTGTGTTAAACATGTGTGAATGAAACAAAACACAACTCCAGGTATGTTTTTGATGAGGAAACAACATTATAACACAGATCAGACAATAGCGTATAATATGGATTTATGTATAAGACAGCAAAATAAAAACACCAGGATCATGTAGAGCAGGTTAATCTGAACATTTAGGACCAAAATGACAAGGCTCACTGCAGCAGTTACAGAGAGAGGAGTGACAATTTTCCAGTGTTAAGTCAGTGAACACTTCCTGTTTGGAACATAGTGGCTTGCAGATGAGCTATGTCAATTTTTGCTATATATACAGTTTATGGTCTTAATTAAAAAAAAACTGTCATATGCGCTTTAACTTCCCTAGGCTCATATTCATCTCAACCCTCATTTCATTACTGCTCGTATTACAACTATTCATTACCATACAGGCACCTGGTTTCCACAAGATAAACAAGAGAGGTAGTATGTAAAAGTCTACACACAATTGCACATGACCAGAGCTGAATGGAAAACGAGATCACACATCAAATTAGCCTGTGAGTCCGAGATAATCACAGTCTTAAGGTCACTACTGTCTAGGCTGCCTATCCATCCAAGCTCTGTAATGCTTAGTTCAATTACATCACGTTTCCACTCCCTATCTGTCCCCCATCCTTCGTCCCTCCATTAGCCCGCCCCATGTCCTTCAGAGTGTCCTACAGCGGGGACACAGAGCCAGGTGGTCTCTGCCGGTTTGTCCTAATCCAGAGACACAATACTGGGAATACAGCCCAGACGTTGGTATTTCAGAAGCCCCTCTTTGCAAACTGCTGCTGCTCACCCATTTGTACAACACTATTCGTACACAGAGTCATTCAAAGTGCTTTACAGTAGGGCTGGGAATCGCAGGGTGCCTCACGATTAGTTTCGATACTCAGTACAAGGCTCATGATATGATATTATCACATTATGGCAATACATACATGATAATCAATATACTGCATATGATACTCTGTTGTATATCACTATACTTAAGAACCAAACACATTTTAGCGTCAATATTTTGTTAAACCACTACCTGAGCAAAGTAAATATGATGTAAATCTATCTCAACTAATCAAAACAGTGAATATGTCGAGTGTATTGCATAAACAAGTGTCCTTTCTCTGAACAAACATCAAAAATGTAGCACTGTCACAAAATAATTTAGTAAAATACACCAAAAAATACTCTTGCTGAAATAGCGGATATACCAGACCAGGATAATGATACTGTATCATCAAATTTAGTATAATGATATAGTGATATTTCAATATTCTAGCACACCTCTACTTTACAGAATGATAGACATTAAAATCACAATACAAACAAATCAAAACATGAATGGTCATCATTGAATTGTGTAACTTTGCTGGGGAAGGAGCCGTCACCTACGTGTTTCTATGGATATGTCTGAATGGAATGCTCCACATTATAACATTAAATAGGTTAATATTAGGGGTGTAACGATATCCAAGTCTCATGATACGATATCGTCACAGTATGAACCTCACGGTACGATATTTATTGCGTGGGAAAGCTCACGATATGGTGGGGAGGCTCACGATTAGGGATGTAACAATATCCAAATCTCTCTGTACAATATTTTCACAATATACATCTCACAGTTATATTTATTGCGATATTTTGTGGAGGCAAACAAAACTGTTAATATGCTACTTTTTCCTCTTAAAATGCCTTGACAAGACTTAAACCAGAGAACTAAGACTTAAAAGTGCTTAGAACTGTTATTTCTTCTTGTAGTCACTGAAATGGAGCAAAGGATCATGGTCTATGTAGTTCCCCCTGTCCTTTTTTTTTTAGCTATTGTTGCACCATAACTCTTAATTTAGGCAAAGAGACTGGTAATTTGATATATTGTGATGGTCCACGATATTTTTGTGAGAACTTTGACGATACGATATCACGATATTTCGGTTATTGTTACATCCCTAGTTAATATAAATTGCATTGATTAAATTACAGGTGGTTTTATAGCTCAAAAAATACCTAGAAAAACAGGCATTCTGACTGTGAGCGGGGTCGCCTCTCCACAGATCTGACCTGTAACTTGGCCTGGTTTGGTCTCCATAAAGATAGAACGGTTTAATACTGTGAAACACTCCAGGCAAAGCTATAACATCTCCATTTAGAAAAACATTTGACAGACCCTCCACCAGAAAAGTTACGCACATTAAAAACCTTTCATGCATATGCACAGCCAACCAGAAGTGTTTTAGCCCGGATTTAAACACTGTCAGATGAGGTCATGCATGCTACAGGAAACTCACAGGCTGCTGGTAAAAGATCAAACAAGACAAGGAACTATTCTGGTGCAAAATACAATACATAGAAAGAATGATGGTTAGAGGGAAGACATTTGTTAGGAGAAGCAGCAAGAAACCACAAAAAGTGAAGGGGCGGAGCTTAAAAAGTATAAGGAAATTGAATAGGAAAACTATCAAAGCATGTAAATTAATACTTTCTGACATCTGCACTGAATAATCTTATGTAACAGCTTTTTAAAGGGCCCATATTACGCTATTTTCTGATCAATGTTGTTTCCTCATCACAAACATATCCGGAGTTGTGTTTTGTTTCATTCACATATGTTTAACACATTTAACACATGTTCTCGCTCAAACAGACAACACCAAACTCTGTATGCCTTCACCAGAATCACTTGGATGATTTCAGCCCTGGAACTATCAGTCTCTACTAAACAAAAGGCAAATGTAGCTGTTGATTAGAAAACTACTGCATGACATCACAAGGTGGACAGAGCATATTGAGCTTGGGAGATGTACAGACTAATAATAAAGGGTTACTCAAATATGTGTGACTCAAACAGAACATAACTGTAGTATCACTATAACATTACTTAAAGCTCACACAGCTTCAATTTTGTGTATTATGGGACCTTTTAAGATCCTTCTGGGCACTGCAAAAACCAAATGCAGTTTTGAAAAGTTGCCAAAGAGTTGCAGTTCAGTATTGAGACTGCTATGAAGGTGCTTAGTCATCACTGCACTACAGAGAAAGACCCCTGAAAGACACACTCTCGATTGGAAGGAATTTGCATAAACAATAATATAGATTTCTACTCTTTGTCATTCACTCAGCTGGGCTAATTCTGGTCTAACTTGTTTTGTCAGCATGTTGATGGCATTTGAAATTACACACGGAAACAAGGCTGTGGATGCCCTTTTGACAAAACGTATCTACTCAATCAATGGTAAAACAAGCAGGCGATAGAACTGATGACCTGATACTCCAATCTGGCCAACTGAGCTGCTCTCTTTGTGCAACGTGCATCCTGTAATCATGTAATAACACAATATCCGTAATAACTCACCTAATTTCATTAAAGACGCTAACAGCACCCATAATGAGATTTCAAAGGGGGTCTGGACGTGCTTGTAGTTCAGATCTAGCACTGGGAAAGGCTTCTTGTGGTGGCCCGGGCTGGAGTCGTTGGTGGGGGAGTGGTGGTTGGTCGCATCCGCGGGACTTGCGCTGGCCCCGGCTGCAGTATGGATCACCAAACCGTCCAAGAGCACCAGGACTAGCGCCAAAAGCAACCCCGTCTCCGCAGGGCTGGAGGAACGAGTCCGTGTACGCATACTGGACCGTGGAAATATATATGTTAACAGAAAAGTTCTAGCAAGTGGAAGTTACAGCCGACTTTGTTGTAAACTTGACTGTTGTAACTGTGGTGACGTGCGAACTCGTCGAGCATGCTAAACTAGTTGATTTTATTTAAAAACAAGAAATTTCCATGATAATCTAGCTCAGACTCAAACGTCTTATGTCCAGGTTGCTCAGGTAAACAGTGCGTACACAGGCCGTGGGAGACAGAAAGCAGGAAACGCCACTGGAGTTTATTTCCTCAGCTGATAAAAGTGAGTCTCGTCTGTGTTTTGACGGAGCACTGGCGCTTATCAGCCCCGCGTCTCAATGCATATCAATGTCTTCCTCAGTAAAAGATGTCATTGTTGAACCCGGAGGCAAGCAAAGGCAAAGCGGCATCCCCGACGCGCCTCTCCCCCCTCTGTCCACTCGCCAAGAAAGTCGTGCGTAAAGCGGCCGTGCTCAAATGTTGACCTTGACGGAGAAAGCCCACAGCTGTCAATGAGCATTTTCCTCCCCTGCCCGGTCAATGTAAACTTTTGAGTGATTCTTTCCAGGTATGCGGCATTTCCAGCGTGTTTTAGAGCCAAGAGGACACGGGCTTGTGGTGCGGGAGAGTTGAGCAGAGGAGGAAGACAGAGAAGAGGGACGCCCGGGTGATGTGCCGCCGCGTCTGGGGGAAAGAGGAAGGAGTCTCCGCTCGCCAGCTGACCGAGTCTCGTCTGCTCCAGCTCACAGCGGTCTATAGCCGCATGCAACCTTCAAAACGCACCCCTTTTCGCGGAGGTTGGATGGATGAGAGCTGGAGGAGGGGTGGAAGGAGGAGGAGGAGGAGGAAGGTTACTATAGTGACATCTATAGGAAAGGAGGAGTATGGAAAACAGGCCAATATTGGATAAGAAAGAGGAGATTAATTAATATGACGTTTCACAGGCCCAGGCCAAGTAAAATAAACACCTTGTTTAGTGAAAAAGAGCACTTCCACAATAGGCTATAGCGTAAGACAACAATGCCACATGTTGCTTTACCCACAAAGCCTTGCCCTATAATCACATCAGTCAAGGTTTTATTAGTAAAACTTAAAGATGCTTTACTATTGGTCTATTAACGTTAAACAGTGTTGACAGGTACACTGTGTAACTTTACTGGTGGAGGGTACCCCACGTCTACAGCTTGTCTCCATGGAAATGTTATTGCTTTGCCTGGAATTTTCCACAGTATTGATTAAATGTTTCTATCTAACATTTATTTCAATAGGTGTCAAAAATACCTTGAAAAACATTCTGCATTCTCAGTGTAAGCGACATTGCCATTCCACTGATCTGACGTGTAACTTGGACTGATGCCGTTATCTGCTTGTCTCCATGGAGATATCATCAGTTTAATGCCATATTGCGAGACATTCTAAGCCAGGGATGTCCAAACTTTTTTCTTTTTTCATCATGGGCCACATATCTAAACACAGATGAAGCAGAGGGTCGAGGTCCGTAGACTGGTGTTGAAAACAGTGGATAATTGAAATGTGTGCCGATTTTGCTTGGTTTCACTTTGTACAAAACGTCTGACCTCGCAGCCTTAGATTTCGTTCGCTCGACGGCAGGCGGATACTTTCTATCCTTTAACCAATCGCTGCTATTTTGTCGTGACGTGTGTAATGCGCCACTAACGGGGCTAACTGTTATATTAAGCTTTTCCCAAATCCTGTAGGAAGAAGGGCAATAACGTCTTTCCCCTCGATCAAACTCACCAAACATTCTCTTTATTCAGGCTTTAAATCCTCGATCTCGGGAATTGTTGACAACACTGAATATATGACTCTTTGCTGATTGGCTGGTGCCCGAACTCGCACTTCTGGGGTTTTTGTGAACCTTCTATTGTATTCTGATTCTTGACCTAGTTGCTGGAGAGAAATGAAATTGAGCAGAGGCACTAGGTGGCGTCAGTCTGGCTATAAAACCACACACTAAATATTAAAAATTTGCTTTATCAAGGTAGATTTTCAAAAACCATACAGTAAAAAGTACATTTTTAATTGATGCAAGGTCATCTGAGCCAATTTACCTGGAAGACTGAGGGCCAAGAAAGGGCGGCATTTGGTCAGCGGGCCATAGTTTGGACATGCCTATTCTAAGCAATGCAAAATATTTCCATTGAGACAAGCAAGTGACTGACCTCCTACCTTGAAAAATGGCTACAGGACATTACTGAAGCCTAAATGTTTGACCTGACCTGAATAGTCCTAATTGCAAGTAAGTACAGAGCAGTGGGCGGAGATAGGGGGTAAGTGAAAATGCCAGACAATACAAAAATACTCAATCAATCAAAATACAACTTTGGTGGAGCAATAATGAGAGGACAGTTATAACGCGGGTTACATAATACGCCACCATTAATCTCTGTAATATTGTAATATCATATACACACTAGTATTAAAGGGCTATTTTCTAATCTCTAATATTGCCTCATGACAGACATACCTGGAGTTGGGTTCTGTTTCATTCACACATGTTTACACATGTTCACACCCTGTTCTTGTCTCAAACATTGTGTTCCACCTTGTGATGTCGTGTTGTAATACAGGAAATGCTCCACTTCACAATTTCAGACCTAGAATCTCCAATCTCAACTAAACAAAATGAAGGTGTTAAATGGAAAACTACTACTACTACATGTGGTACATCTTATCTGACATCATGAGGTGGAACAGTGCATTTTGAGCTTTGGACATGCAGACATCCCAATATGTAGGATTACTCAAACATGTGTGACTGAAACAAAACATTATTATTAGTCTGCAAGTCTCCAAAACTAGGTAGATTTCAAGTTAACAGCTACCTAGTTCAGTAGAGATTGGCAACTCCAGGGCACTTCCTGTATTACCAAATGACATTACAAAGTGGTTTTCATTTAAGAGAAGTCTAAATATGCAGGGTTTGTGTGTTAAACATGTGAATGAAACAAAACACAACTCCAGATGATGAGGAAACAGCATTATACCATAGATCAGAAAATGTCAAAGTGTTATATGGGCCCTTCAAGAATGAGTAAGTGTAAATGTTGAAACCAGGCTTTCTATTCAGAACGATAAGAGAAACTGACACCCTAACTGTTGGTAGTCCCCTGATTGCGTCACTGGCCAAAGTAGGCTCCATAAATACTTAACACGCTGAGCTCTCTCCTTTAAATGCTGTTTGGGATGGCTGAGTAACCTGAGACTCCAATATCACAGAGAAGGTCAAACTTTCCAAATGCCTATCATCTTATTTATGCATGACACGATTATAGACTATGGGACTGTATATTATCACTGCTGTCAAGTCTCACTCTTGTTGTTTGAATGCCTGAACCGCTCAACCTGTCAACAACAGTTATAATAGGTAGCTGCTACTTTGAAAATATAATATAGAGGTGACAGTGAGACATTACTTCTAATAAACATACAGCTTAAAGGGCCCGTATTTTCTGATCTACAGTATGTTATAATTAGTTTATATAATTATAATTAGTTTCATCATCAAAAACACTTGAAGTTGTGTTTTGTTTCATTCACACAATCATTCATTAACGCACAAGACCTGCATATTGACGCTGAGTTCTTCTTAGTTCTCAGCCAGTTGTTCAGGACTTTGTAAAATCTACACCTAAAAATATCCAAAACGAATGATATGATTATTGACTTTCGAAAGCAAGAGCCTCAGAATGATGTCACATATATAAAGTGGCAGTCAGTTGAGTGTTTGGGCTCCTGTAAGTATCTTGAAACACTATTTGATTCAAATATGAACTTTGACGATAATTGTGCTGCTGTGTGGAAAAGAGGCCACCAGCGCCTTCATTGTTTGGGTAAATTGTCTTTTTATCCATGTAGACAGAACCATGATGACACTGTTCTATAAAACGTTTATGGGATCAGTTTTAATGTTTTCACTGGTCTCATGGTTTGGGTAGCCAGGCTGGCGCCACCTAGTGCCTCCCCTCAATTTCAGGTCAGGAATCAAAATACACTAGACGGTTCGCAAAAACTTCAAAAGTGCAAGTTTGGGCACCAGCCAGTCAGCGAACAGCCATATATTCAGAGTTGTCAACGATTCCCGAGATTGAGGATTTAAAGCAGAAATAAAAAGAATGTTTGGTGAATTTTATCAAGGGGAAAGACGTTATTGCTCTTCTTTCTATGGGATTTGGGAAAAGCTTAATATACCAGTTAACCCTGTTAGCGGCACATTACATACATGACTACCAAATAGCAGCGATTGGTTAAATCAGGCATGTCCGAACTATGGCCCATGGTCCAAATGCGGCCCTCAGACAAATTTTTCTCGGCCCTCAGGCTTCCAGCTGAATTGGCCCAAATTACCTTGCATCAATTAAAAATTAACTTTTTACTGCAAGTTTTTTGAAAATCTACCTTGATAAAGCAAATATTTAATATTTAGTGTGTGGTTTTAAGAATCTTGCAATGAGCCATCAATCTTTATTCATTCTACCGTGTTAAACATGCACATTTTTCAATTATTCACTGTTATGAGCATCAGTCTACAGCCCTCAATCAGCTCTCTGTTTCGTTTGTGTTTAGATATGTGGCCCTTGATAAAAAAAAAAATAAAAAATTTGGACACCCCTGGGTTAAATGATAAAAAGTAACTGCCTACCATCGAGCGAATGAATTCTAACACTGAGAGGTCAGACAAAGAGAAAGGAAGTAAAACCAGCTGATGAATCAGGCTATGACTTGGGAGCATCTCTGCTAAAAACAAGAACTCCCTGAGTCAGATTTTAGTACATTTATCTTGGAAAAAATGTGTGTTATTTTATTTATTTAATATTTATTGTGATTTTAGCCAAGCGTGATGGATGAATTTAACTAATTATTTATGGAACAAACCATTCTGCACTGGAGCACTGGAACACTTTATTTTGTGATTGTCTTTTTATATGTGTTATTGGATATAATATGGATGAATGAAATGTGAAATGTAGGACTTGCGTCAAATCTGCAAAATCAATTTACCTATGGGTACAAATAAAGCAACCTGACCTAACCTAATGTGTTTTTAATCTCCATACGCCTTCACTAGAATCATTTGGATAATTTCAGCCCTGGAATTGCCAATCTCTACTGAACAAAAGGCGAAATGTAGCTGTTAACTTGAAAACTACCACTATATGACATTACAAGGAGAAACAGAGCATTTTAAGCTTTGGAGATGTAGACAGACTAATAATAAAGATTTACTCAAATATGTGTAAATGAAACAAAACACAGCTCTGGGTGTGTTTTTGATGAGATCACAGCATTATAACATGTTTTAAAGCTCATAAGAGTCAAGTTTGTGTAATTTAAGACCTTTAACAATTTCTTGGAACTCTGATTGTATTTATTTATGTAAACACAATTCATAATCTAGGTCAGTGTACTATTTTAACCCACATAAACCAGCAAATAAGCACCTGGGATTATAAAGTATGAGACAATAAAAGGCAAGTTGGGCCATATAATTCTTAAAGATAGACATGATTGCACCTTGCTTCCCCTGTACGAGTGGTCACAACCTGTTGCTTCAGACTTTTGGACTTAACACTGTAAATTCCAAACACACCCATCAGATAGCCACTAATGCATGTCTAAATTGAGTGTCTCATTTTCTAACTCACTGTGTCTGTATACAGCAAAACAAACTAAATAGAATGATGTGGAAAAATAACTAAAAGAAAAAATGTGGCCCAGATACATACAATGCTATAATAAGCATAAGCATGAGTTATATCTATCACTACTTAAAGGTTAAA